CCTCTGGTCGCCAGTTCTGAGCTCATTTCCCCCCCACCATGCCCTCACCAATGTCGATCAGCGCGGTGTTGAGCAGCGTTCCTTCTTTCGTTCTTACTTACGGCGCGATTTGGCTTGCGCTGTATACAGCGCGTTGGCTTATTGTCCTCTTGGTGGGTCCTCAACACCTTTTTTCGCGGGAACGCGAACAATAGGCCCTCCGTTGTCTTGGCTATTGTCCTCACTGATCGATCTTCTTGTAGGTTGTCGGCCCCTACAAGAGCTACCTACGCTATCTGCCTGGCCCTCGCAGAGATGCATACTTTGGAGCAGATCAGATGTACGATTTGCAGAAGTGAGTCGTATGTCGGTCGGGGCGCATCAAATCTTAATGTGGTAAATTCCTATCAGCCCTCGGTTCTCAAAGCAGACTCACGAGAAGTACGAGAATGAGTATGGCAAGACCGCGAGATTCCAAGGGATGGGATATGTGGGTGGCAAAACTTTTTCTAATATGTCGTTCTGACTATTGTCACTCGTAGTTTGACGACCGTCTGGTGACCGTAGACCCCCTCTCGCTAAATTATATGTAAGTGTATCGGCATATTTCCCGCAGTCTAACTCAACCTGGCTTTAGCATGAATCGTGCCGCAGACCTCTATCCTAAGCCCTGGCAAACCCAACGGTTTACCCAGAGACTGGCCAATGGAGGTGTGTAGCACGACTCGGCCAAGCTGTGCTTTTATTGACACCTGGTGCAGGCTCTTTCAGCGCTGGAATTCTCTGTACTGAGGGCGAAGAACATCGCAGACTACGCCGGGTCATCGCTCCCGCTTTTTCTTACCAGGCAGTCAAAAATCTTACCCCACTTTTCTTGCACAAATCGTTTGAGGTAATCAGCACCCTTTCAATTCTTCGACGGGTTTCTTATCGTGATTTTCAGCTCCGCGACAAGTTGCGCTCAGTTCTTGCAATTCCTCATGGTGCACCGCGACCGGGTGCTGAGGTGGATACAATCCCAGGTCAAGAACATCCACGTGTGCGAATGGATTTGCATAAATGGCTCGGACGTGCGTCGTTCGATATTATTGGAGTTGCAGGCAAGCGCATCTATCATCAATCCATCACTTTGCCTCGTTTGACGCTTATTTCGTCCCTTTGTTCTACTTTAGCGTTTGGTTACGAATTTGGTGCTATCCAAGAAGAAACGAACGAGACCTACAACGCCTACCAATGCATGTTTGATGCCCTGCGCCAGGCTGATAACGCAATCCACAATGCGGCGATTTTCCTCCCAGACTGGATTGCTTCCCGGATTGTGAGCGGTTTCTCCTTGCCTTTCATACTTGTCTAATTGTCTTCAGCCGGACGCACGCACGAAGGAAGTCCGAAGATGCCGCAAGATCATAGAGGCTGCGAGCCAAAACTTGTTGAACAGCCGCCGAGAGGCAATCGCTTGCGAGAAATCCGCTGGTGTCCAAGTAGGGAAAGATTTCAGCGTTCTTAGTCTCCTACGTAAGCCCTAATCTGCACCTATTACTCTCAAACTAACCCCAAAATAGTACGTAACAGTGAAACTTCAAAGACACCTCTCACCGACTCTGAAATGCTCGCTCAGATTGATTCGATCATGTTTGCTGGACATGATACGACTAGTCTCACTGTAACATGGGCACTATGGGAGCTTGCGCGATACCCCACTGTCCAGGCTCGTCTTCGAACCGAGCTTGCTCCTCTTGCATCCATCCTCAAAAACTTTGCTCCTGCTTGTCCCTCAGACTCGACCAACAACTACGCAGACCTCACCGGTGAACTAGGCGAGCTCGCCAGCCGGATAGACGCTTTACCTTTCTTTGAATGCTTCATCCGGGAGGCCCTACGATTGCACCCGAGCGTACAGAGCACGCTGCGTGTTGCGGCCCGCGACGATATTATTCCGGTGTCCGAGCCTGCGCGTGTGGGGGAACGAGGCGAAATCTCGCGCGCGTGGGTCGGAGGCGCCCAGACCGGCTTGCCTGGTGGTGGGGTTAGGATCCGAAAGGGCGAGTTTGTGCATGTACCGCTCGAAGGCATGAATGTGTCCAAGTCGGTCTGGGGAGAAGACGCACATGAGTTCAAGTGAGCCTTGGCCCACTAGTTATAGCTTGACACTTATGGTTTTGGTAGTCCCGATCGGTGGAACAAGTTGCCCGAGACTGCAAAGACAACACCGGGTCTGTATGCCAATTTGATGAACTGGTCAATCGGTCCTCATGTAAGTTTGTTTGATGTGTAGTATGTCCGATTCTAACGGCTTTGATAGTCTTGTCCCGCTTCTCGATGGGCTCTTGTTGAGATCAAGATGATGTTGGCTGTGCTAGTTGCTTCGTTTGATTTTTCGGGCGCAAGCCCGATGAACGGTCACAATTTCCTCGTTGTGCGACCTTATGTGGACAACCAGTTCTCCAAAGGTGAGAGCGATTACAGCCTCGTAGCTCTTGTACTCATGTCAAACCTAGGTCATCGGATGCCCCTTGTCATGACTCCACTTTAACTTGGGTTCAAGTGTGCGTTTCCATCAGCTGTATATAGAGGTTGTACTTTCGCTCGTGTCACTCTTTTGTCGGTGTAATCGCTTTGTTCTTGTAATTTCCAGTAATCACATCTCGCTTCGGTATATATCTTTAAATATAAGTCTTATGAATTATCAAGTCTCGAGTTAAGGGAGCCCAAGATATTTGAAATTCGACCATAGGTCGGAGCACGGCTTTAGGATTATACAGCACTAAGTCACCTTGCTTGCCAAGGTCTTTCCCCCCCCCACAATTGTCGCATCAAAAAATGAGGGGTCCAAGGGCCCAGATTTGTAATCAGACCCTTCCTCAATGGATTCCTGAGCGCAGCGCGCTCGAAGTCAACTTCAAGTACTGCGGCTCATCGGCTTTAACGAATTATGTTTATTTAGCGGTTGATGGATACGTTCATCAAGCGGGCTCCTATTCTCGGTTTGTGTTTCTTGTGGGGCATTCGTTTGGACTATTGCACATAATAATTATATATAATCTAGGCAGACTACAACATCTAAAAATTGTATCTAGATCACGAGTTTGCTAAGTGAGTACCGTCTCCTGGATGTTCCCAAAAAGTCTCGCCCAGCATCTATCTTCGTTTTGTCTCAGTATTTAGGCTCTGAAGTCTTTCATCTTCAAGCTTCAGCTGCTCGCAAGGGGTTTTTGTGAACAGGCTGTCATCGAAATCGCGGAGTAGTCGGATTGAGCCTCGACCCGAGCTGCGTGATAAAGCGACGTAGGCATTGAACGGCGTAAGTCCCCCCATGGTGGCCGGGCTATATCGACAATGACATGTGCAATTGTTTGTCCCTGGGAGTGGTAGTTGGTGAATGCGTAAGCTGCCGTTATAGGTAATTGACGTCTTAAAACCCGTTTGTGAGCTCCATCCCTGGAGCATATTTCGTATCCTCGTTCTATCGGGACAATTGGCATAACTCCTGGCTCCAATCCTGGAGGTGTATGGGCCTTGGTGCGATTGAGCTTGACGAGGACACATTCAGGGGGATATGTGAGAGCTACCTCCCTAGGCGATTCGGTGAGTGCGTCGAGGATTTGTTCCCGTCGGTCAAGAATGATCTCTTGAACTACGCCTCGCGCCCCATTAGCAACATCTAGCTCTGTTTCGACGTTTTATGTGACCATAACCTCCATGCCAACTGCTAGCTCGACAACGTTGGGCAGGTTCGCTTTCTCTTTTCGAGCCCCGCGGTCATTCTTTAGTAAGTGAGTTCAAAGTAGCCTATTGGTTAATTGTATTCAGTGCCTAATCTTACTTCGTACAGAAGCTGATTCCATATAACATGCCTCCTACCAAATCGTGTTTATTTTCTGTATACTTTGCTCGCTCTTTACGTCTGATTTGATTGTGCTTGAAGTTCTGTTACCTGTATGCGCTAGCTCCCTTACATTACAAATCAATTCTCCACGTTCTCCTATGTTGTTAGTTATGCAAGTTTTCTCTTGGCAAGCAAGCAAGGTGTACAGCCCGGTACGGGCACATCAATATCACTTTGAGGCTGGAAAGGCTGAAAATGCCTTACTTGCGAGTATGGCGCTGCCTGAATCGGCAAATATGTGCATACACCCAGCGAAACGGCTGAAATACTCTATCGCTCGCCATCTACACCCAACCCTGCCATTATGCCCAACTCCAGCTCTCCTATATTCTCTCTGGGCGGGCGGACTAGACGACTCATAAACATGGATTGTGATGCACCGTCAAAAAACCCGCAAGGAGTGGCGGGAGCTCTGATGGATTCTCGCTAACAGCGCTCAGAAGTTACCACCAGCGCACCCAGACACAGCTCCTGGTGTACTCTGAGACTTTCGATACGTCTAGGCTAGTATATGGGCTAGCAAATAGGAGGCCAGGAGGGGTGGAGGCCACCGCTGAAGTCCTGTAGACGAGGGCTCCCGCAGTCACGGCTATCTAGCCAATCCAGCCGCTGTAACTTATATAGCATCTTTGCATAGGCTATTCTTGCCTCTATTCAGCCCTGTTCGAACAGCGTGTAACACTCACAGGCTTCTCGCGTTTGCAATCTCACATGAATGTGACGAGCTATAACAATTAAAAAACGAGTCTCTACCAGCCGCAATAGCTCAGCTGGGAGAGCGTTAGACTGAAGATTCCGCGGACTTCGCGGCTCATCACGTGATCTACAGGTCACCCGTTCGATCCGGGTTTGTGGCAGTGCTTTTTTCTGGACATCTTTTATACTCCAGATACGTCACGGAACTCGTAGAACTCGTCGAGAGGCTGAAATGAGCGAAATCGGTGCGCATATACCCAGATATATCTGTTCATCCTCCATTTTACCCCGCATACATCAGCTTGGATGTGTCCCCGGAAGGTTCTCGGCCCATATCTACCTTGATGAAATCCATTTTTTAAACCCAGATCACCTGCGGTGCCGCTAAGCTGGCTGTTGGCTCGCTGTTACGGGAGGTGCACGTGACCTGGACTTTTCTCAATATACTTTGGGACGCTAGTGGAAAAACACAAGCTGGGTCTCTTGGAAGACACGTATACATCACTAGAGTCTATGTATTAAGTTGCAGAATAGAACAGCTACGATGCGCGGCAAGGCAAACGCTGCTGGATCAGTCGGCACGTGACCGTGCCCAAACACGGTGTACCAGCATCATCAATTGGCATGCAGACTCTAGAGTCGTCCTATGTATGAAAACCGTCGTACGATACGTCTAATTATGTCCTATGCACCCCCATATCCTGACGCAAGACACATACACACGAGGTGCTGCCTCAGCAACTTGACGATGATATGTAAAGGCCGTGTTCATACATAGAATTCTGACGACCAAGAACGTTGTCGTGAACCACTTCGGCCGATGAGCACAACACCTCAAATGCGGTCGTGGCCTTTTCAACACTGGGAAAAAGTGCCCCGAAAGCGACCGAGTGACGTCGAAATACGCTCTTCCCACAACTCCACCACCCTAAAATTTTCGACCGCTTTACGGGACGTGGTTCTCGGATCCGGGGCGGCTCGAGCAAGAAAAAGAGACCGCACCGCATCGGAGGAAGGTACTGGGGGTCGGCAACCCAATAGTAAACGTAAGCATCTGATGTCCAGCTTCTTCGGCCAAATAGTAGTCCACAGACTATGTAGCAAGTGAGACGTTGACCCAGCGTTTGTTTCCCTCGATTTTAAAATAGAAAAAAATTCAGTACCATAGATTTTGGGCCTATAGAAAACAACTGTTGAGGAATAAGAGAGGAACAGGATGCCCATATACTGTTTTCCGGGCTCGGAGCGAACCCCAAATCACACTTCCCGGCCACCAAATCAGAAGTTATTCCAAGGATTTGTGCGGCCGGGTCTGTAGAAGATATCTAGTGTGTGTGTATGCTTATCGAGAGCGTATACATGTCCAGAAAGTGTGATTGGTGTTCAGAAGAGTCCACCAATCAAATTTGATTATGTCATGAGGACTCCTGGAGGTGCATTCATCCTTGTGTCTATACGTTAATATCCATCGCTCAAAGAATGGGATTAAATGTTCCCTATGGCTATACTCACAGCATGTGTTGCTTTTTTGCTCAGAAAGTACAAACTGCGCCCTTGGCGGGCAAAGATAAACGCCAAGACAGGCTTTGACGAAAGCCAAGGCAAAAGCCGTCTAGGACACGCTCGAGCTCTCGAGGATGGGAGTCAAGGCTAGAGCGATTGATAAGTGGAGGATGTCGATTACGGATGAGTCCAGTTCCATCGACAGACACGGGTATACCGCAGGACTAAGAGATGTTTTATTCAAACAAGGTATCCGTCTGTCCCTAGTTTTCGCACCCAATCAAGCCGCATATATTCTCTTCTAGTTACATACACAATATAACAAAAACATATATCCGTTGTCGCACAGTGGCAAGGTCTCGCGGTTTTCATCAATCGGAGGCTGACTCAGCCACGTGCTCTGGACAGGGTCCTCATACAGTCGAATCCATTGATTTGCATACTTTGATTTGCACAAACGCCGGAAACGCCGGCGTTTAAACCGACCTCCAAGCTGAGTCAGCCCGCCACTCAGAGTTGTTCAACCGATCATATCCTCATAAGATCTCACTTTTATCTCATTTTCTTTCACACCTGTAGTATTTCTACGCCATATGTAGTATATATGCACGTTTAATACGGGATTTACTAGTCATTTGGACACTGGCGGCTAAAGCGGTAGAATGAAGCTGGATTGCGCTTGTTTACAGAAAGCCTGTTCGCTTAGGAATTTGTCTGTATACTCCACCATGCAAATCAATGGATTCGACTGTAGTGGGTTGCCGACCCCCAAAGGTACAAGTCGGTCTAGGCGTGCCATGTGGTCCTTGTCGGCGGCTAGCTTGGGAAAAAGATCGAGCCACAAAATCGATAAATGGGGTTATGCGAGTTGGATGGGGTTGTAGTTTGAAGATGAGCGGGTTTCAGTTGAGCGGAGTGCAGGCGTAGTCGGTGGAGTCGACTAGAGCAGCGTTCAAAGGAGTGCCGGCAGTTCAACTCTGCAATCCGGTTTTTCTGAAGAAATTTCTTCCGTTTAGATTTGGATACTCGGTTTACGCCCAGGCGTACCGCCGGGTGGATAGTGCCAAGCCGTGTTTGTTCAAGACTCAAAACGCATGCTGCGTTGAAATGACGCGTGAGTAGACAGGCACCAGGGTGCGTAATCCCGCGCCGGAGCACTTGGAAGGCGAGTTGCTCAACATGGGTGGAGCTCTTTCATGCAAAATGTGATGGTGTCCATATGGTCCATTAGTAGTATTACAGTAAAATGTGTCATTGCAATATTTGCGCGGGATTATTAGGCTGAAATGCGCGATTGTAGTAATTTTTGATTGTAGTAATTTTTACATGTAGACCTTTGTCTTGCATAGCAAAAGGCCGGAATGAATAGATAGGCCGTTCGGGTGTTCGTATTCATCTGCGATGTCGGCGCGCTCTTCTCGAGCTCAAGTAGAGCTAGCACGACGGTTATCGTGTGGGGAAGGCTGTCCGCCAAGGTACACATAAGCGGATGTCTAGATCGACGTTTAAGTTTGGGGGTGAATTGAGCAGGAGCCTGCACTCGTGGTGGAGGCACGGGGTGTATGCGAGGCAGTGGGAGACCAGCTGACGATCGATAGAGCTCGATAGGAACGCTCGGTGTTTTGAGGCCAGCTGGCAGTGGGTGATTCTGCGACTCGATACGCTGAGTTGGCCAGTGTGGTGTTTGGCAAGAAATAAATGGGGTGATGAGGGATCATCTTCGGAGTGCAGTTCATGAACTGGGATCGGCGCAGACGGTCGATGTGTGTTGACCGAGATACCGGGCGGAGGATCGGCGAAACCGAGCTTGAGATAAGACCGTCTACGGGCGCAGCGAGTGGCGTCCACAAGCGAGGGCCGTGGTGGGGAACATAGGAGGCTCGGTGAGGATATGTGTCAGTGGAACGTGGTACTGATGTCAATTGCCATGGAGATACAAGCACAAGTGGTGAGCGTGGTGGCCCGGCGCTTGGAGCGAGCTTGGGGCCAAACATGTCCCTGAGACCCTTACT